TAAGTAGGTTCAAAGATTTACCTAATGGTGCTTAGCGTTTGGTAAATAATTTTTGAATTGTTAAATGAAAGCTATTTCTGAGGACCTTAACGCTTCTTTAAGATTATGTGTACATTTTCGGAGGTTATGAGTGTCTTTGACTGGAAGTTTGTAAATGAATTCTGTAAGTTATTCCATTGCTAATAGCCTCGTAGTTGGTCTTGCTGTGGCTGGTCGTTTCCCCAAATGAGGAAGCTCTTAGCAACAGCAGCGGTGTGCTGTGTCCCCACGTCGTCCAACGAGGCTGCCACAGAGAGAAGCAATTAGAAACAAGCCAACAGGCCGTTGCTCCTGGTCTAAAGGCACCAATTCAGTGGAGAAGCTGTTGATCTCTTCTATTAGACTTCAGCCATTATTCACAGTCTGGCATGGAATTAATCCCTTAAGAAAGGGAGGGAAAAAAAATGCCATTCAGCACAACATAGTTTGTCATCGCATGCATAATGCAGGCTTTCCAATTAGAATGCTACAATTTGGGAACTTTCTTCACAGACTGATGAGAGAGCAATTATTTTAAGAAGGGAAAACTCAGTCCATTGGGTTTGCCTCCAGTCACTTCTGACTCAGGCCACAAAGACAAGAGTTTTGAAATCATATTCACTATCGAATTTTGTATCAAAACACCAGCAAGGAGAGCAATTAGTTGCTGTAAACTGTGCCCCGGGTAATCAATGGTATGCAGCCAGCCTGAGCATTTATGGAAGATGTAAGCAGAATCACATCTGCTAATCAATTTTATAAAAAAAACTAGCACCTCTTCACTTTAGGGAACCTCCGTGGTAAGGATAAGGGGAGCTGGAGGAGACAACATGTAATGTCACCAGGCATTCCGTGCAGTGCTCATTAGAGGACGAGGTCTGTGACAGTCACTCACGGCCCTGATCTGCGTCGGTGAATCTCTCTGGTGGGATAAAGTCGGCCTCTTTGAAAATGGCTTCTGTGGGGTGGAAAAGGGAGGGCTATGTTTAAGGAGCTCATCTCCTTTAAGGTCATGAGGAGTGTCTGTGCTGGATGATCACACTCTGCAAACATTCCCAGCCAGATTACAAGCCAGAAATGTCTCTATGCTGTCAGTGCGAACACCTAAGAACCGACTGCAGGCAGACAGTGAGGGCACTGCGGGGCTTTACAGTGTGCTTATGAGAGCCAGATTCTAACCTAAGACAGAAAGGAGCTTGGTTTCTGTTAGGGTTTTAAACTGTTCCTGCTTTTTCAGTTCAATCAATAGAAGGTTTTATTCCTGATGAAGCCCAGGTTCCCAGCAAGTATGCATTCTGGTACATGGGTTTGAATCCTCTAGAAGTCCAAGTGTCGGAGACAGCCCTCCTTTGCTAACCTGCCATCCGTCAGTGTCCCTTGCACTCAAGAGTCACCGTGACCCTGCATTCCCCAGGGACTCTTAAGAGAAGAATAGAAAGGAGATGTCTCAAGCAGTCTGTGCTCTTGGCTGCTATTCAGGAAAGAAAAAATTTAGGCTAGAAGAAATTACTGAGGTAAAGATCGATGGACTAGGCTAATAAAAATTAATATCTTTAGCGTGCCAACTGTGATAGGCAGTGAATTAATATCCTGTAGACGTAGAGGACATTTTGTAAGTCATTAATAACAGAATAAATATAGAAAATACACAAAGTGTCCAAGATCAATGATAAGTTTTTTAAAAACCTACATATTAACAAAATGTGTTTTGTCTCCAGCACTGGCATTGTTTCTAAGTGCGATTCCTGGTCAGATGTACAGACACAGGCACTAGCTAAAAGTTGCTGGCAGTATAACTGGTTACAGATTTTTTTTTTTTTTTTTTTTGGTTGAGGATGGGAGAAGAGAGGTCTACAACTATTTTATAATACACACCATAACCTCAAAATGAGAAATTTTTCAGTACAAACTTTCAAAGGAAGTAGTGGATTTAGCTAAGAATGTTTAGTAAAGAATTTTTCTAATAATGGAATATTATTAACCATCTAAATGTTGAGCACCAAAAGACTGATTAAATCATGAGACATCAGTAGAATGAAATGCTATGAAGTCAGGCCCTAAGATATAGATGACGTGAGACATGGAACTCACTCTGTAGATTAGGCTGACCTTGAACTCGGAGCTCCACCTGCCTCTGCCTCCCAAGTGCTGGATCAAAGGTGTGCGCCACCACTAGTCAGTTTACAGGTTCTTCTAATATTTTAGTGACTCCAAGAATCTCTGAGGACATTTACGATACTCATAATTGCTCATCTTTCTGTATCATCTTCATATCTTGTATCCTTAAGGTAGTCTCTTTCCATGAAACATTTTGAGATCTGGTTAGATTCTGTCCCACAGGGAATGAGTGTTTTCATTCGGGTTCTATGTAAGACACTCGTGTTTTATTTGGGAAGGTGAGGGTTGTAACGCTTTGGTTCTCTATTAATAATCCAGAATCCTGTGTGAGAGGTGGGTGTGGTGGTGCACTCCTTTAGTCCCAGCACTCGGGCGGCAGAGGCAGGCAGATCTCTTGAGTTTCAGGCCAACCTGGTCTACAGAGCAAGTTCTGGGACAGCCAGGGCTACACAGAGAAACCCTGTCTCAAAACAATAACAACAACAAAACCAGAAGAAGAATAACAAAAACACTCAAAACAAAAACCAGAATCCTAGTGAGGTAGTCTCCAGAGAAACCTGTTACTGGAGAACTGTGAGATAAAGAGAGCATCTTCATCTTGAAGTCCCTTATCTGTAAGAGCAAGTGACTATGATCTGGTAGCAAGCAGAACTTGAAACTGGAACCGAGAACTGAAGGAAAGGGAGCTAGGTCACGGGCACAGGCCTGTCATCTCAGCTGCTCGGAGGCCTGAAAGGCAGGGGACCATAAATTTCAAGACCTATGTAGGCTGCAGAGTGACAGTTCAAGGCCAGCTGTGGCAACTGAGACAGTGCCTCATAAAGGAAAGTAAGAGGCCTGTGATCATAGCTCAGTGGTGGAACACTTGTCTAGCCCTGGGCTAAGTACGCAGAAACAGTCCCAGCAGCATTAATTCTCCAGAGTAGCCTTATGCATGACACACAACTACGTGTGCAAGGGATGTGGGCTGCAGTACCAAGACTAAAGAAGACGCTAGGAGTGGCTGTTTGGGGGGTGGGTTACAGTTGAGATACAATCTAGATATGTAAACTAGGAATAACAGGGATACTTGGCAGGGGGATTACAGAATGGGGTTTTGGTTGGGATACCAGGTTAGAATCCTGCATCCCTCACACACTGACAATGAGCTTAGATAAGGTACTTAGAGCTGCAAGGCTCACTTCTACCATCTATGTAATGTGAGGAGAGCAATGCTAAGAGGATATGTGGGTGGTTACAATAGACCAGACTGTGCAGGGCACTTGACTGTGGGGCCTGATCCACGTAGCCATTAAAGAAACGTTGGCTGTCGTGATCATCGTTGTTACTGCTGCGTTTGCCCAGCTGACATCCACTGAGCACTGGCTCTGAGTCTGATGCTAGCCCAAACTCCAAGTATAGGAAAACCATTTAGACATGGACGCTGCCTTCAGGGCACCCACTGTTGTAGATGACTGGCACATGATGTGACTCCCTGTTAGGCAATGTGATGGTGCCCATACTTTGTTTAGGCAAAGATGGCTGATACAGTGGAAACAGTGATCTGTTTCCTCTGAGGCATGGTCAGTGGCAAACACAGACCCCATATTGAGAGGCTCAGATTCCGTTTTTACTTGGAGAGCCACACATGTAGAGCACACAGATCTTTTGTGCACAGCTTGATGACTATTTACATGCTCCTTCAGCCATGTAACTACCACTGAGCTCAGACCAGCACATCTCTGGCCTTCTAGAGGGTGCCCTCATCCCATTTCCCAGTCAGCACCTTCCTAGAAGGAACAGGTGTTCTGAAACTAGCTGAGTGTATGCTGCTTTGAACTTCGTGGAAATGGGCTCATACAGCCCGTTGAAGTTAGCTGAGCAGGAAAAGGGCTCACAGCAGGACTGAGATAGTTAAGTTCTCAGATAATGAGTACATTTTCTGGTGCAGTTGGCCCTCACACTTGGGGTCCACACACATTGATTTAAAGGTATTGGTTTACATAAAAGGGCACAGAATTTTTTTTCAATTCCTGTAAAACTATAGGACAAAACTATTTGCGTAGCATTTACTTTGCATTGGGTATTATAAGGAATGTAAGGATAATTAGTATTTTGTAGGAAGCCAGTTAGGACATTAACAGCCCTGTAGTCACAGCACTCTAGAGGCTGAAGCAGGAGGATTGTGGATCACTGGCTTAGCCTACACCATGATACCTTGTCTGTGGAGAATGTGTGCGCATGTGCATATGTGCGTTACACAAACATCTTCATATATGTGTGTATCTGTCTACATTTATGAGTTTATACTCACATATATGTAAGAGGTATGTGACTATGACTGCATAGGTCTTGTGTATATAGTATATATGTTTATATATAGGGTTGGTAACTGAGGACTTGAACGGCCAGAGTTTGGGGGCGCTGGGACTAATCTCTTAAGGGACAGCTGTACCCACAACAGGCAGCCTTACCAGAGTCAAGTGCTTGTGCTTGCTAGGCAAGTGCTTGCTTGCTAGCATCCGTTAGAAAGTGCTCATGCCCTGAGCAGGTGTTTCTGGGATGTTAGCCTCAGCTAGCTCAAATGCTACAATAGAAGCTGGAGAACCTGAAAAGATGGCACAGGCATATTCTTTATTCTTCCTCCTAAGCCCGTCTGAACTTGGCTGCTAAGGGGACCTCGGCTCCCTGAGATTGGGTGGTTAGTGAAGCAGACGTCCAAAGAGGTGACCTCCAGCCTGACCCCGGCCTTCTCTTCATTTTCTATTGGGATTTGCTCTCCTTCCGAGGCCCTGCATGCAGGGCGGGGCGCAGGGCATAGGGAGAGGGTGACGCAAGGCCCCATGGCAGGTGCAAAGTAAACGGAGTGTTCTCTGTTTGTTCAGGTTGTTACTCTGGGACTGTGATGATCGAAGCTACAGCTACTACGTTGAGGTCTCCACCAATCAGCAGCAGTGGACCATGGTGGCTGACAGAACCAAAGCAGCCTGCAAGTAAGTAGCACCCTTCACTGCAAGGGCAGATCTCTGTGAGCCCAGAGGCCCTGGAGAAGATCCGTGCAGCCACCAGGGAGGTGAAGTGCGTTCCCGCCATCCTTTGTTTCAGTTTGACCGTGTAGCATTTAAACGAGTTTATTTGGTGTGCCCAAATAAGTTTACCTATGAGCTGAGCTTGAAAATAACTGACATACTCACACAGGGAAGTAAGAGACTCCTTGTGTAGTCCTCTCTCTGACCTCCAAGCTCCTCACTACCAGTTTAGGAACTTCAGCTTCCTCGGAGAATTTTACACGAGTGGCTGTTGCGGGGCTCTGTCGTTCCTCATAGCAGACCTTGTCCGGTGCCTAAACTAAGGAAAGCCATGATGCGCTCTTCCTGGCCTTTGCCCTAGGGCCTCTATTTGAGCTCACCTGGCTGTGGGAACACCTAGAAAAGAGGATCCTGTGGATTCTGACCAGTCTTCCACCGTGGTGCATGAAGAGAGCTCGGTGCCTATTGGGGGAGAGTTTCTTCTGGGGAACAAAACAGAGCAAAGCTGAGACTTTGTATTTTAAAACTAAATTATGGTTCTGTGTTAGTCAGATTTCTATCCCTATGACATAAAACTGAGTAACAGCATACACAAGAGAGAGGGTTTTGGGACTCGTGTTTCAGAGGTTCCTGTCTGTGTTCATGAGCTTTCCTAGTGAGCACTGAGGAGCTGGAGGAAAAGAGATGGTGGAGCCCCTCCATATTTCCAGGCCATGCCTCTGATCACCTCACTTCCTTTCACTAGATCCTGCCACCACCTCCCATTACCAGGCTGGTGACCAAACAAGCCTTTACACATGGGCCTTGGGTTGGGGAGGGGCATTTTTTACCCAAACTATAATACCTTCCTGTACTCTCAAGCTTGCCCTCACAGGGAAGTGTGTAACTGAGTATTTTTTAGTACACCCACAGAATTGTATAGCTATTGCTATCTGTTCTGCAACATTTTTATTACCCCCTCCCCAAAATAAACCTATTTCCCTTCGAGGCCTTCAGCATGTAGTAATTTACTTTCTGACTTAGGATTTGCAAACTGTGGGAAGCCTACGTGAATGGAATCAAATGATGTGTGATCTTTTGTTCTCAGTTTCTTCCCCTTAGCATGTTCTCCACTTCCTCTTGCTTGTATCCAACATATATGAGGGTTTTCTTTTTGTCTGAGTGAATAATATTCTTGCGTGTGACCTCATTTTTTTCCGTTGTTCATCCTGACAAATACTTGAATTGTTTCTTCTCTTCAGCTTTAATGACTAAGGCTGCTTTGCATATTCCTGAACAGCAGAATGTGTGAGCATACTGTTTAAGTGATTGTGGATATATCCCTAGGGGGAAAATTGCTGCATCATATTTCTTAATGGCCTTGATGACAGTGAGCTTGACTCAGTGTCCAGTGCCACCAGCACTATTCGAGTAAATGTTTTGAACTTTTTGCAGAGTGGCCAAACCGCTTTGCATGGCCTTGAGCAGTATGCGAGGGACCAGTTTCCCGTTCTTGCTAGCCTTGTTGTCATTACCTTTGGGCTGCAGGCAGTCCCAGAGGCAGTGAAGGAGGCACCACTAAGGCTTCGATTGGCATTGCGCTGTGGCTCATGCAGCTGAGCGTCTTCTTGTGTGCTTATTTGGCTGTAATTTCTTTTCTAACGTCTGTCCTTTGGTTGGTTGGTTGGTTGGTTGGTTGGTTGGTTGGTTGGTTGGTTGGTTGGTTGGTTGGTTGGTTGCCAGGATTCCTCACCCACCAGGCAATTGCTCTCACTGAGCTATGCCCCTGGCCCGTGGTTTCTTAATGGCTCTGATGACAGGTGTGCTTGACTCAGTGTTCAACATCAGCACTACTGTTAGAGGTGTCATCACACAGCATGTTTTATGGTGATGCTCACACTCAGGACTATAATAAACAAGCTTCAGTGTTCAACTGGTTTCATGTAACACTGTGATTAACATGGGTGTTCTTGCTTGTCAAGTGGTCCCTTCTTGTGGGTTTATATGGCTTAGGGGCTCATCAGCATCTTCTACATCTAGAAGATACAGGTCATGGAAGCAGAAAGAGAAGTTGTAGCTTCATCTCAGAAGCCCTGGCTTGCATGGTGTGCCTTCCTTCTACTCATGTGCCACTTGTACAAAAACAGCCTGTCCTCACTAGTGTAGTGAGGCCACCACTTGTCAGGGGACATGAGTCCTGTGAGAACCTTGGCCACAGCATAGGAAAACTGTTGTCCGCTAACTGGTATTCCAGGACTTTCATACATTGGACCTCATTGCCTGAATACAAGGTACTTTGTGGGATGCTGCCCTCATTTTATAAAAGAGAAAATAGTTTGGAGAGAAGGAGCATCTTTCCCAAGGAGCAGAGGTCAAGTTTTGATCCAGACTCTTTGCAACATAGCACACACTTTACAGTACCCCCAGTATTACTGAAGAACACCAAACCACCCTGTGTGGAGAAAACGGGAAGAAGGAGGATTACGTTGTTTCCAGTGCTGGATGCCTTTACAAACAATGGTGTGTTTCTAGGCCCCATGAGCTACCTGCACCATTCCTCTCTCCAGAGCCAGCTGCTGAGCACAGTTGCCATGCATACTGGTTGCCCACAGCTCACCGTCTAACATTCTTGACAATCTTCTCTGTCATTTATATGTTTCTTTACAAGGCTCCATCCAGCAGCCTCCCCAAGCCTTCCACAAGAACACACTCGCTGTAAATAGATGCCTGTGCTGGTGGTCTGTATTGAGCTTACTGGGGTTTGTGAGTGTGAAGCCCCTCTGTGCACACATTCTCTCAGTGCCTTTGCTTGACCACCAGCATCTTATTGGTTTGTTTCTATTAATTGATGGGCTTAAATAATTGACAAGATTCCAGCTTTCACCGTAGCACTTAGGTTCTCCAGGAGTGTTTTACATATGAAGAAGCTGTGGCTGATGCATCAGAATGAAAGAGAAGAAAAAAGAAGGCAAGATCTGTTGGCCTCATTATATCAGTGGAACCAACAGTTAGGATTTTACGTTTACAGACATAATCTCAGTTTACTGTACCTCCCACCATTAATGTGGCCCTTAAAACAATACGCAGTTTTCTTCTCACTTAGGTACATGAGAGCAGATGTTGCTCTCAGAGGTTCTTCTAGCATCTAGACCTGCAGCCTCCTATTATTGAAAGGCAGCTCCGGGAGGGTGGCTGGTACAGAGGCAGGTGTGGCTCTGCTCTTGTTTGCTTTCCAGGTGAGGGGTTCTTCCCTGTGGTAGACAGTTGAATTTTGATATTGGCAGGTTTTTTGTTTTTTGTTTTTTCTTAAACGTTTCTTTGCTCTTCTTTAAATTGTTGAACCCTAATCTTTTCTAACAAACAAAAACAGCACATAGAACATTGAGCAGTACAAAGGGTGTAAGCAGAGAGCCAGACTTGACCTTCCCGTCTTCCAGTCCACTCCTCAGAGGTGTAGACGCCTTTGACTTGCCTGTAGGGTTTTTGTTTGTTTTGTTTCCTGTTAACTCGGTGCTATCAACAGCATCTTGTTCCTCTGTTTATTTACTAGCATTGTTAACTCTCTAGTACAAAAAAGTAAGAAATTTTAAACTACTTATTTCTGGATTACATTTTTTTTCTTTTTAGTTCTATTAAAAGTATATTTTTTTAAATAAATGGTATACCTGACCATCTGCTTTCTGATCCATCCTTTAAGGACAGAACTTCTTGACTTCCCACTATGTTGATGAAAAAATGGATAACCTGTGTTTCACTGTGTCTTTCCTAACTTCTTATTTTTGTTTTTCTTTGCTTTTCTCTCCTTCCAGCTGACCACATTAATATTGTTAAGGTTTATGATAGTTATTTTAATTATGACTCAGAGTTAAACTTTTTTTTTTTTTTTTTTTTTTTTTTTTTTTTGAGACAGGGTTTTTCTGTATAGCATTGGTTGTCCTGGGCTTGCTTTCTCACAGAGAAACTGTGAACTCAAACTCACAGAGATGTGCCTGCTTCTGCCTTCCAAGTGCTAGTATTAAAGGCTTGCGCCACCACACCACGTTCTTAGAGTTAAACTTTTTGTGTGGCCATAAAGATCCTGAAGAGGAAACCACTCAGAAGTCGTTGTGATAGTCTCGTTATATAAGCATTGTCCAGAAGCTGTGTGCTGATTGGTCAGTGAGGGAAACGCTACACTGCTACTCCAAGCACGAGCCCCCCTGAGGAGAGCTGTGTGCCAGACTCTGGGCAGATGGGCGAGGCCCTCTGTGAGTGCTCAGAATGATCCCACTGTCAGGTGGCTGCCTTCTGTTGCCCACGGTTCCCAATTGCTTAGTTTTTCTGTCAGTGCTGCTTCTGGAGCTTGCTGTTCACTCATTGGCTAATTCTGGGCATATTGCTTCCTGTACTTACTCTGTAGTGTGATGTAACATTTCCTTTCTTTCCTATTAGGTTGGCATTTTCTCGTTTTCGTTATTTGTAGAGCATGGTGAAGGGTTAACAAAATCCTTTCTCTGTGAGTGAGATGCTGACCTAGGATCCAGTTCCCTTGCTTGATCCATTCTCCATGAAACCTCACAGAAGTGAATGTTAGCTGTGCTGTTAAGCAGCAGGGCCTATGAGCAAATCATCCCTAGCCCATATACAGCCCTTGGCCTAGGAGGCGACACATGCATGGTTAGAAGCTCCCTGGGAATGATGGTTTTGTGACTGGGCATGTCCTGTTATTCTGGGACAGAGCTTGTGGGCTGTTGCTAGGAAAGGTGCTTCATGTTTAGAGTGTGAGGTTTATCCCTGACGGTCTACTCCTGTCTGTCACTGAGTCGCACTCACTGCATATCTCATGCAGGATGCACAGTTGGGTAAACTGCTATAAGAAAGAAACTAGCGGGACTGTCCTGGTGGTTGGTTGCTTTTTCATTCCCTCTCATAGGTTACTCCTAAGCCCCATGTAGCTTTCTTGGTCTCTTAAGTCAGAATGTTTAGTTAAGATCATCAGTAGACAC